GGGCAGATTTTTACTTGATTGCAAGCAATGTCCAAGTAGTGGTGCTCTCACACCGCATTTCTATGCACAAATTCCTCTTGGGGATTTGCTCCTAAAGATGATTCACAAGCATGGGGTGGTGATGGGCAGGGGACCCTTTGCTGGATGGTTCCCTGAAAGTCATGGTATCCAGTTCCAGGCACTGATGGAGTCCATAGGTCTTCTTCATGACCAGATGAAAAGATAAGAGCCAGCTCTCTATGCTCTGGCATTAGCCATTTAGAAATTATGCATTTTATAGGAAAGGTTCATGTTTTAAAGACCAGCCAGTGCTTCAAATTTGCACCATCCTGGGTTAGATGTTTTCTAAGAGTACATAGTTGTGTGTCCTCTCCTCCTGACTGTGCCCACCTGAATGTCAGGGAACCGCTCGGAATTGAACTCCCAGTCGTTTATTTTATTAAGTGGTGAGATGTTTGGAAGGCACATATGGAAATTCTGAGAAATTTTTATTAATCTTTCACTGTTGACAGAGTGTCATCTTTTTAGAATTGTTATTTATTTGAGAAAAACAGAGAGCTTGTATCTACCGATTACTTCCCCAAAACCCTGGGAGTCAGGAATTCAATTCAGATCTTCCATAGGTGTGGAGGGACCCAAACACAAGCTGTTACCACTGTCTCCCAGGGTCTGGGAGTAGAACAGGGTCTTCAACCCAGGGACTACCTCTATGGGATTTGGGCATCCCAACCCTGATCTTGACCACTAGGCCAATTGCCTGCCCCCAGGGGGTCATGTTGAACACAGCCCATTGCTGTTCTGGATGTGTATTTGAGATGTCCTTAGGGGACTACTGGGGGGTCCCATGAGATATACTCTAAAGTCAGTGGCACTACCTGCCTCTCTTATTGCTGTCGTAAGTTGTGTAAATGCTTTTTAGAATGATGGCATTTATCAAGTTTTTTGCCTCTTGGCTTTTGGTGTTCTGCATCCAAGTTGCCAAGGATTTAAAAACTAGACCAAAATTAAAAAAAAAAAAAAACTTGCTTGAACTGTATGTGAGAACTAGAAATAGTATATGTATATAAACTCTATGGATTTTTTGACATCTATTTGAGGCCAAGTACCTATGAGACTGTTTAAAGCTAAGAAACACATTAAGGATACCACACACACACACACACACACACAACCAGACCCAAGTTGTTTTAGTTACTTCTTGATTTTTAATTACATTTTAAGTATAAGTAGATGTAAGGGTACCAGCCAGATAACTCTCTGTTCATGATGATAACTGGATCAAACCCTTCTATTTCTATTGGATACTCAGTTGTCATTTATTATCAAATATTCCCAAGTTCCATCATAAGCTTACAAACCTGATTGCACATTAGAATCACCAAAAAGATAGATTCTAGCCTCACCAGGGGTTGAGAGTCTATAGATCTTGCTGAGGCCGTGAAATTCATTCTTTTGTGGAGATCCACAGGTTTGGGTAAACTTGGGACATTTTACAGATCTTTCTCTCAAAAATAAAATGGGTCAATGCCTTCGTTTTCCAAAATAGTATATTTAAAAGACTGGGAGCAAGGGAAAGATCAAGGTAACAGTTACATAGATAGTGATAGAACTGGGGCAGGTCTGTAAACTGATAATGGAACCATCAGAGGATACTTTTCGGAGAAAAAACATTTCAAGTATTTTTAACATATTTAAGTTGTTTCACTTCTCATTAACATAGCATCCCTTCTGATTTTCCCCTCCGAGGTTGGGTGTGAGTGCACCTGGTAACTTACCAGAGAATGGGACATCCTTGGAGGTTTAAAATGAGCCACCGTGTAGCTTCGGCCTGTAGCTGTAGTGGCACACCTGGTTGGTGGAACACTGCCTGCTTTACCCGTGGCTTGGTTCCAGAGGCTCCGTGTGCCAAGACAAACCAGTATTTTCCTGAAGGCCCTCGTGGCAAACGTCTTCAGGTTGCATTTGTGTTGCTGCGTGTGTCTTTAGTAATGACAGGCTTGGCAAATGCTATCGACAAGAAGTCGGTACTTCCGGACACAATGACACGTTGTCGTTAATGGGTCCTCTGCCCTTGTTATGGTTTCCACAAGGGAGAGGTCAGGCTGCAGGTGATGTTTGCTTATGTTCTGCTCCACCTGGCTCCTTCGTTAAGACAGCCTCAGGGGTTCCTTGTCTCTGGAAGATCTGATAATACGTGGCAATGAATGTGTTCTGTACTATGCCATGTTATGGCACCGGCATGTATTACCAGTTGCCATGCTTCTGTGCTAATATTTTTCTGGAGATTTATTTATTTGAGAGGCAGAGTTACAAAGAAAGAGGGAGAGACAGAGACAGAAAGAATTTCCATCTGCTGGTTCCCTTCCCAAATGGCCACAATGGCGAGAGCTGGGCCAGGCCCATGCCAACAGCCCCAAACTCCAGCCCAGTCTCCCATGAGAGAGACAGGGACCCAAATAAGTGAGTCATCGTCTGCTGCTTTCCTGGGCTTAGCAGCAGGCACGCCACCACGGGATGCTCATGTTGCATGCAGCAGCTTAACCCGCTGGGCCACAACGCTGGCACCCTCTGTGCTAATAGTTTAACTCTTGTATTTACTGAATTTCTGGGGAGACTAACATATATGTGATTATACAAATTATTGAAATATTTCATTAAATACTGGTATGTCACAAGCTAGTTCGAAAACCTCCGTTTAGAGAAATGGTGAGTTTATAAGAGCGATGATGAAAAAATTACTAGAATCATCGTCAGCTTACAATCCCTCTCATTTTAGGGGTTCTGAATGATACAGGGGTCAAGACTGTATCATCATTTTGTGTGTTGACTATTGCTTCAAGTTGGAAACGTTTTCTTGAGTTGTCTCAATGGTATTTCTTGCTTCTCGTAATATAATAGGACAGATAGACTCTGAATTAAGGTAAGTGGACAGAATTCTGTTAGGCTACATTTAATGTGGGGTCTTTAAATTGTTCATGAAAATGTAGATTACGAGAAAACGACAGATGGATTTCAAAACTTTTTTGCACCCAGATAAGCTTATCTTTTAGTTCCATTTCCCACCAAATGTTTGAAGTACGCTCCTTCGAGAGAAGAGAGCAGGTAGTCATGCTAGTACCCTCATGCGTCTCCATCGCTGTCAGCCCAAGGACATGCCTTTCTGAAGGCAGCGAAAGAACTGAGTCCTCTGTGCTACAGCCTTGCAACCTCTGGGCCTGTGCTGTGAGAAGCAGTGGGCTGGACTCTGTTTTGCAGTCATGCTGCCACCAAAGCCCACAAAGCAGAAAGGAGATTTGTGATGGATATTAGGCTAACTGTCCAAGAAAAAAAAAGCATCAACTTTAAAGTCATTCACTCAGTGAATATTTGAGAGTTGTTATAGAACTATCACTCAAACTTGCCAAAAACACCGTTTCTTTTTTTAAATTTAATTAGAGTAACATAGCTTAAAATACATGACATGTATTCAGAATCATTGAGGAGCCAGCCATCTCTGAGCAAATCTCTCCCAATCATGAAAACTGTATTCTACTTCTCTTCTACTTTTCTCTCTCTCAATCTCTTTCTCTCTCTCTCTCTCTCTCTCTCTCTCTCTCTCTCTCGTATAGATTGCTATCATAGTTTAATCAAGTCTAAATCATTCAGGTCATTGGCAAATTAGTTATTAAAAATTCCTGGATACCTCCAGGGTTCTAGAAATATAAAGAACTATCTCTTTTTATAGTAAAATACCCTTAGCCTGCTCTCCTTCATAAACTTAATTGCTGCTTTCTGTTTTTGTTTTCTGATTCTTTTGAACAATATGGACAAATCAGTTGATAGCTGTTACTCATATTGTCAGAAGGAGGAGTTGTCAAGAAGTTCATGGAAAGTGAATATTATGAAAAACTATTTTCTGAAATATATGAAGTGCGTATATTTCAAAATTTTGCAACAAACATTATTGTACTTTCTAATTTCATTTTCCATGGAGTGTTAAAGAGCCATTGGGCGCCCAACCTTAGGAGCCTTCACCCATCTGTGATTTGTTGCTTTCCATCTAACGTACATTGAGAATTGTGTCTAATGCAGGAGAAAATGGGTTTTATCTGGGGATGCGTCAGTGAGGTGCAGGACATCAAAGGAAGCTCTCTGAAAGTCTAGGTTTTGGATGTGCAGAATTTCTGGGAACAAGCAGAACATTATCTGGGAACAAGACAGTACATTATTTGAGAGTGACTATTAAATGTGTGCAGAGATGAATACTGCCCGGTTGCTATTGTTTAGGAGTCTCGTGTTAAGGAAAGTGCTAGAATGGGAATTAATAAACGTAGTAATACTGGACTCTGAATGACCTTGGGCAGCCTTTTTTCTCCATTTCATCCACTCTGAAATGGAGACGGCAGCGCCTACCTTACTGAGTTACTATGAGGACTTCATGAAATATTTTATGGAAAATGCCTAACGTAGTGTCTGAGTCAAGTTCACTGACCGCACGTGTGTGAGTTCTCTTTTCTGCACTTCCCTTAAATGTTGTTTCCTCATTGGCATCTATGAACAGAGTAAAAAAGACAAAATGCTTTCTTCATATTTCCACAAGACTGTAACATTCTATTAATTGAATGACAGTCATACCATCTAAGAAGTTGGTCTAATAATAGCATTAGCAGCTTGACGCTGGCAGAGTACAAATTTTGAGTCAGGTGAACTCCAATTTAGATCTAGAAAGGGGAAGACTAAGTCTTTATTTCTCCAAACACAGACACCTCCGTAGGCATGCTATTATCTTAGAGTTGGTTTGATGCTTTTTAACAAAGTGTCCACAAAATGCCACCCATCCATCTCAGTTGGCGCTTTAAAAAGGCACTCCTGGAATTCAGGGTACCCTGGGACATCTTTGCTGGGGTCTGGTGTGCCACAGTCAAAGTGTCCATTTTTTTTTTTAGATTTATTTATTTACTTGAAAGAGTTATATATAGAGAAAAGGAGAGGTAGAGAGAGAGAGGTCTTCCATCCGCTGGTTCATTCCCCAGTTGGCCGAAACTGCCGGAGCTGCGCTGATCCAAAGCCAGGAGCCAGGAGCTTCTTCCGGGTCTCCCACGCAGGAGTAGGGGCCCAAGGACTTGGACCATCTTCTGCTTTCCCAGGCCATAGCAGAGAGCTGGATCAGAAGTGGAGCAGCTGGGACTCGAACCGGCACCCATATGGGATGCCTGCACTGCAGGCAGCAGCCTTACTGACTATGCCACAGTGCCGGCACCTCCTTTTGATAAATCGAACATTTTTTTTTCCTTCCTGTGAAGTGTCTCAGTTCATCAGTCAATTCCCCTTCCATGCTATTTTGTAATTCCAATCTACATTGCTAAAGAAAGCCTTCAATTACCCGGAGTAAATCCAGAATACAAAATTACTTCGGTTTCGCAGTCTTCACAGCTGTGTGAGTGAAGAAATGGATTTTCATCGACCCTCGCAGAGTTCCTCTGTCGCAGACAATGCTCACTGACAGATCAATTAGTTACACTTTTAGTTTGTTTTTAAGTCAATTTACATTTTCCTTCTCAATCTCCTCTTTGCTTCTGAAGGTGCCATAGTTAAGTTTGTCACAAGCTGGTTTCGTCTGTGTCATTTAAAATCAGGTGACTGCAGATTTGAACCCAATCTCTTTTTCTGTAGGAGTTACGAGCTATGTCAACAGATGGTCAGTGTTTCATTTGCCTTACGGGTGTACAGTTTCTCACTGCCTATTGGCTTCCAGTGGGGATTCTCGGCTGCTGCTCTTGTCTGCAAGAATACAAGCTGGTTAAAACTGTCTGTGCTCGTGGCCAGGAGCCCCGAGGTTCCCGGAGCACAGTTTATCTCCCACCCTGTGTTATCTTTGCTCTTACATTTCTGCGGTCACATTTCCGCAGCCCCAGCCAGTGAGACGCGTGGGGTCGCGCATGGGTTCAGTATGCTTGGACTGTTTATGAACAGCCGTGAGGGTCGGGCTCATGTTCCTGGAGTGCTTTGAGCAGCTTTACTAATCCGTCAGCATAGTATGTTCTTGTGGATAAATATAGACATACGGGCACTCTGCGAGTTGTAGGTCACTGTCTTACTGTGCAGCTAAAAATTGTCGCCTGGGTTTGAACGGTCTGCCCTGGGCGGAAGGCCTGCTTTAGTGTGTCTTCTACTGTAGCTCTTTCGCACCTGACTAAAAATACACCTTGGGCCAAAAATACAAGAGCCCAACCTTGTGGCCGAGACACTTATGGTGGCAGTGAGCGGCAGGACCATGGAGCCCGTCATTATGTTCTTCTGCTTTGGCACCTAGTCTGTGTAAGCTGTCCCAGACGCTTAGTTTGGGTTTCTGTTCAGGCCCATGGAGATTACGACAGCTTGTTGGAGACGATCCTGTGTGATCAGCTTCATCAAAGGGCTCGGTAGGTATGGGAGGCTGGTGATGTGTGCAGTGGCTCAGGGGCAGTCAGCACCCACCAGGGGCCAGTGAATTCGCTTCAGGTTCTCAGCGAATGGGGGTGGGGGAGCAGTTGTCCGTACAGACTGGAATTTGCTTAGAATGCCGGTGGGGTTGGGAGAAAGGAGTAATGCCTTTTACGTCTGGAGTTGGGACTTGCAGTGTTTTGGGAGCGAGATCTGGTTCTGTTTGTATCTGAGTCTATGAAACAATCAGCTGTGATGTCATGGAATTTTTCTGTGCACTCGGCTTTCACTAAAAGATTTGCTATGGCCATACTGTAAAATTGCTGATCTGTAACAACAGCTAGCTTATATTTGGAAAGTAATTCATGCTACCATATTTAATATTACAGCGGAGGTAGCTTGTATGCTTGATTTCTTCTAAAGGCTAAGGTAAATACCCTTACTTGTTTTCTTCTAAGTATTGTGATCGGCCTGAAGCAGTTTTTCCTGGCCTTTGGGCCTAAATTTCCCCAACATGTAAACAATAAGATGTTCTTCTTTTTTTGTTTATGAGATAATAAACAGAACCTCCTGGGTTAACCAACATTAACTGGGTCCAAAGTACATGCCACTGTTTTCCCTTATCAGAGTATTAGCATGATCCCTTTAGTTCTCCCAGAACATTTTAAACAATATTTTACAATGATTCCAAAAAACGAATGAGAGGAGACATCCATGATAGAGAGTTAACTGCATGCATCTTGGATATTGACTGTTTGACTTTCTACTTAATGACGGTAGGGAAAGTTCACTGGTAAGTGGCAGAAGCACAACATACTGCTCTAACAGAGGAGACACATTCTGTTCACTACAGACCTAGGAGACGGAGTGTTTGTTCATGATTCACTGCACCACCTGTAATGAAGCTATTAGGTATTTACTGATGATCTTATCCTCTTCTATGAAGAAAATCCTTCTCAGTTATTGTTTCATCCCTTATTTTGTGGTTTGTATAGAGGAAATGTGCACTAAGGAACTTTTTTCTCTCTTGAGATTTTTTTTAATGTGTAGCAAGCATACACGTTAAATAATAAAAAACATTGTGCCAGGTGTTTGGAAAAAATGCTGCATCATAACAGAACTTGGGGGAAATGCTTACTATTGCTATTGTGCATCCCTTGGGAATGTTACTGACCCTACTGAGTTTTAGCTCAACAGACCTCCCCTGTGGTCTGCTATCTTTTTTTAAAAAAATGATTTTATCTATTTGAAGGGCAAGTTACAAAGACAGAGAGAGAGGCAGAGGGGAGGGAAAGAGAAAGAGAGAGAAATCTTCCAACCTCTGGTTCATTCCCAAAGTGTCTGCAATAGCCAGGCCTGGGCCAAGCCGAAGCCAGGAGCTTCATCCAGGTCTCCCATGTGGGTCCAGGGGCCCAAAGACGTGGGTCATCTTCCACTGCTTTCCCAGGCACATTAGCATGGAGCTGGGTCAGAAGTGGAGCAGCCAGAACTCAAACCAGTGCCCATATGGGGAGCTGGCATTGCAGCAGGCAGGTTAAGTCCTTGTACCACAAAGCCAGCCCCCTGCCAACTCTCTTGACTCTTTTTCCACTCGTTGCCTTTCTTGCTCATGATATACAAGCTTTACTTTTCTAAGGGATCAGCAACAGCTAACCTCTTTCCATGTGTTGGTAGGTTTATCACCATCTTAGATTATGTAAATTTCTTGCAGGCTTGGGTCCAATGACTTTTACATACTCGCTGCATGTTTCCACCATCACATATGCATTAATAGAACCCAAAATCAGTTTTATTAAATGAGCATGGACGTAAGTAAGCCCACAGGAACCAGCAATTTAATAAATGTTTTGGTCTGATAAAAATCAAACACTAATGAAACAAGAAAAGATTTCCCTTATGCAGTTAATTCATTGAACAAGTGTTTATTGAGCAATTGTTTATATCACACTTGAAGTCCTTTGCTTGCCATAGAGGTTGGAAGTGTACATTGTATTATCATGAATATTATACAGTATGTATTTGCATCATTTCTATTCACATGCACATATGCTCATCATTATACATATATAGGTGTATATATTTTATAATAGAATGTTATAATGTAAACTATGTACCTGTGCATATGTGTATAATCTTACAGTATGATGCATATTATATTAATGAAGACATCTGTAACACGAGGTTCTCCTTGAAGTTCCTCTCCACCCCCAAGCACGTAATCTTCAAGGGAATAACTAGAACTTCCAGTTTGCAGCCTTTATTTGTTCAAATATGGCAGCCTCTGACGCTGCCCTCAGGCTAGGCAAGCACACACCCGGCCTGCACAGTTTCGGTGTCCCTGTGTGTTGAGCCCCTGTGCAAAGTCCCCGCCAACTCAGCTACCAAAACATCACCCTTCATGTTCTTCTCTTGTCCTCGCTACCTGATTCCCATGTGGTTCTAGCTCAGGAGTAGCTGGGTTTGTTATCTCTGGTAGGCCTCAGTCTAATGCCTAGGAAACAGTGTGTCAATGCCTGCTGACCCCTCAGAGCCTTTGTGACTTGACCTCCAGTAAGAAATACACTTGGCACTGCGTGACCCACAACACACACACACACACACACACACACACACACGTTTGTAGTCACAGACAGGCTGAGAACACAAGCTTCGGGGGTCAGGGCTTACTTTCCTAGGCAGGACGCTGTCACTCTGCTGTTTTCTCCAGCTCATCAGAACTGGGCTGGGCAGCGCCCAGGTTCTGGTTCCCTGATTCAGTTCTGGGTCACAGCTTGCACTGAGACACGCTCTGTTTTAAAGACCCTTTAAGCCAAGTATTCCCAACACACCGTTAGTCACGTCCTCAGCTGAAGACACGGCTGTTGTCCTTAATAGAATTTTCTGCTCCTAGGCAGGTCGGTGTTTTATTTGTGAGAGAGCATTGCTTGGTAGCAGAAATAGCTCTCCCAGTGCTCCTGGCGTGAGTCATGGGTTGAACGCAGGGTTTCTAAGCTGGAGATCATTTATGACCTTGTACATCTTAATGCTTCCTTACTCCTGATGCCACAGATAATATGCATCATGCTAGAAGGTGAGGATACAAGAGGATACAATAAAACTTGAGTGTGGTGGGGGAGGCAGTTAGAAAGCATATGTATAGTAGGTCATAATAGGTCAAGAGGGAGCCAAAACTCTGGATGAGGGGGAAAGTCATACGGAAAATCAGCAGGGGGAAGTACCAAGGGCTAGCTGGCCAGAATGACCTCTCAGAACTAACAAAAAGTGAGCCACCGTGACCATCTTTTCCCCACTTGTGTGATGTCTCTAGTCTTCGTGTTCCAGTTCTCTTCCACCTTGAAGCTTCCCTGACTGTATCAGGAGTTGGTTCTAGGTCACAGCTTCACTTCAGGGTTACCATCCCAGAGAAGCCTGCACCCAATCACAAACAGATCGCCCCCGTTTCTCTCTTGCAACAGCCTTTCCAGCACTTCCCATTGTGTGAAATTCTACTTCTCTGTGTGGTTATTTGACGACGCCTGTGTCCTCTGCCTGTGAAGGCTGGAGCCATGTCTGTTTTGCTGCCCTTGCAGATAGCACAGCTGTTGGAGTGGAGTGGACCTTCAGAAAATATCTGATGACTGAATAAATGACCAAACGAATGGATGGACACTCTTCCAAGTTCTTGTGCTCTTCCATTGGCTGTTCAACTTGGTGGCATCTTGTGGCTGATTACATTTTAAAAATCCTTCAAATTGTTCTTTTTAATTTGTCTTTGTATTCCTCATGGAACTTTGCAGAGTGCCTTCTATGTACTAGGATCTCAAAGCAAATTTGTGTTTAATGCAGTGATTAATCCTACTTACAGTCTTTTGACACAAAATACTTTTGAGAGGACTTGAACAATTTTGTAACACAGCACGAGACAGGATGCCCATGTACATGACACGGTACCTGCATTTGTCCTTGCTATGCATTATTAGGTGCTCCAAGACCACACTATTCCTTCCAGCACTGTTACACAGAATGGTGTAGGACTTGAAACCTTACTGAACGCTCCTGAACCTGCAAACCCGTGTGATCAAACTCAAATTGTAGAGAGAATGTTCAAATTTTTTATATATTTTTTTCAAATTGAGATTCTAAGATAGTAATCTTTCATTATTGCCATTATGAGATACAGGGAACTTTTTATAAATGAGATTTATCTTTTAAAAATGTTTCTATTATGAATATTTCAAATAAACACTAAAGGAGAAAGAATGGTACAATAACATTGTTATTACTCAGGTGTGACAGTTATCAATATTTCATCATACTTGGTTATTTGTACTTTTTCTCTTTGTTAAAGTATTTTGAATCAGATGTTGACATCATTTCATTCTATTCCATATAATCAGTCTGCATTCTAGAAAACATAGATCTGTTCTTACCTCCCCAAAATTCCTTTATCATTTCCAACAAAGTTAACCATAATTCTTTGCTATCACCTACTGTTCAATCCACATTTAAAGTTTTTATTTTTATAAATAAGAACTTTTAAAATTGGCTTGTTTGAATCAAGAGTCAAAAAGATCCACAAGTTACATTTGACAGTTATGTCTCTTAAATTTCCCCATTTTCATCTCTTCTATTGATTTGTAGAAATTGGAAGTTTTAAGAACAGAATGCACTTAATTCTGGATGATCTCTTTGGCTTCTGTCTGTTGACATTGGACTTGTTCGTGTGTCCCTGAATGCAGACATCAGCTCCCGTGTTCTGCATGCTGGGTGAGCATGGACACAGGGTCATGGATGACTTCCTCTCTGCTACACAGCCAAAGTCATTTGTGTTCTTTACTGGGAGGCTTGAGGACCTCCGTGTCATTCCCAGGCATGCATAGCCCAGTTCTTGGTGTTTGGGTACAAGATCTCTGACAAATATCCTGCCACAGGGAGGGAATTTTAGGAAAGCTTCTAGTGTTTCTCATTGTGATAGCTCGTCATGAAACACATACTGCAGGTTTTCTGGATTGGGCAGGGT